GTTTTGTGTACGAACTCCTGGATCAAGCTGGATCATAATACTTTTCCAGCGAGTCGATCAGCGAGAGGGCGGCAGTTTGCAGCGCATCAGCCAAGGCGCCCCAGGTCGTTCCTGGAAGTTTCTGTAGCAGGGCGATTCTTGATTTGTGTTTTTTTTCTCTCTCACAAATATACAGTAAAACCTCGTAATATCGGTATTTGATCGTTCATAATTGGGGATAATTCGGCACGGCTGCGTTTTTCGCATACACAGTATATTAGTAATTCGCCATGAGCCGAATTGCCGTATCAAATGGTCCAATTTCCTAAGACACCTCTGTCAGCACATCAGCTGATGTCGTCTGACAGCGAGTAATGTGGTGTAAAAGTGTAAAATAATGCAGTCAAGTAAACATTAATTGTTAAGTAAAAAATGTGAAGTTTAAGTTCGTTTAATTTGGTATTTAAGTTATAATTTGGTGAGTGCATTAAGCCCCCCTCCACAACCTCTGTCACCTACCACATGGAACCTAATCCCTGCCCCTTATTTGCCTCCAGTGCTGGTTACTGATGGTAAGTTACTTTTTTTGGAAAATATTTTTTGGAAAACAAATTTAGATTGTTTTATTGGGGCAGAAGGCACTGGGGAATACCATTGTCCATTATTCGGAATGTTGGCTAATTCGGCAAGGCCAGGACCCCATGTGTCGATTTAACAAGGGTTTACTGTAATATGTGGTGCTCCATGATAAACCCTAAATATCTTGTAGTAGACTGATAGTGCACTGGGCTACCACAGCAGGACACATCAAGGGTGGCATCTGCTGCATGATTATTCAGGTGGAAAGTACTTGCGATGGTGTTGATTGGAGTATTCTCAAGGTCTGTGCCTTGTGCATTGTGCCGAGTCATCTGCATATATGACCTTGCAATATGATATACTGTTAATGGAAAGTCACTTACATATATGTTAAGTAATGATGCTTGTACGGAGTCTTGACAGAGGCCGTTCATAATTATGTTACGGCTGTATTGCCGGTGCGGTATACTCTGAATGTACGTAGATTAGTTGTACAACAAAATGGCATCTGATGATTTCGGTCAACTTCAGCAGCAGGCCATGGTGCTCAAAAGTGTAATTGGCAAGACGGAGGTCAATCACAGCTTTACCAGCGATCTGTCCATGCTGGAAACCATCTTGAAGGGTGGTGAAGGCAACGATCTGTTCGCAGTAACTGCCGGCAGCTCAAGAGGCAGTTGGCGGTTGATGGTGGAGAAAAGTCTGGTGAGCACGGCACGTTCCACCAGCTCGGACATGGAGGACAAGAGGGGCATTCGCCTGTACCTGGAGGGCAAATTTTTGCGGTTTTCCCAGTTTCCGAATGGCAATGACGTTGGCTTCCTTTCCATTGTTTCGGTATATGTGGCCCATCCCGTGTTTGATGGTGAAGAGTTTCGCAAGCCATTGTTCCCGTATAGTCTCAGGTTCTTTAGAATCTTGGAACACAGGTCATCGTATCCCAGTGTCCTAATCTACTTTGTGCCCCCCCCTCCCCCCCGAGGGCTTTTTCTCCCACTTCAACGACAGTCTATGTGGTCTTGATAGATTTGTTGCTTGTGGTAGTCGACTCAAGGTGATGGCAAGTTTGTTCGTGGACAGCTTGTTCGGTGAGCTTGTCCATTGGTGCCGTTGAGCAGGACTGCATGTGGAAGGTTACGTACGGCATTTGTATGTATGCATGTTGAACTTCTTTCGCATCATACGTAGTCACACGTAGCCAACCGTGCTACTCAGAGGTGTGGCTGTCTGTGCTATGTTCGTTTTAAGGCACCTACTGTAAGTGCCGGAGGAGCTGTCAGGCTTCATGGCCTGGAGTGAGTGAAGTCAAAGTCTGCAGTGACATATTCCCAATGTTTTCTTCATGCACAGTTCAGGGACTCTAGTAGTATGGTGACCTTTTATCTTGGTCACCAGTTCTGGTGAAATATTGCAGGAGTTGTTCTGTGTCTGGTTGCCAACATGTCGTATAGGTTTTCTGATACCCCCCACAGGATGTTATTTTTTGTGTAAGATATCAGAATTGTATTTACTTTCGCGAAGTTTTCTGGCTTTGGCTCCAGGTTCTTCGATTGGGCTTTGGTTTATTTTTCGAAGCTGGGCCATTTGGCCCTCCGAATGTTCCAACGTGGCCATGGTTTTAAGGTTATGACTGGTATTGCTAATCTAGTGTGTGTGGCTACTAATCTGTATTGACTGAAAAATTGCCTATAATAATTGTTTGTGAAGCAATTAGTGCATGTCTTTCTTGTCCTTTGAAACAAAGCATAAGTCTGGGTTATAGTCCTTCGTCCATCGGGCAGAGTGAAATGTGCTCAGTTGTGTAAAGTCGTATATAAGGAACGTGTCTTGTGCCTACGACCATTCCTTGTTTGTCTCTGGGTTCGTTATATTCTGAGTAGCCCCATTGTAAATGGTGGCCATTGAAGTCACTCACGTCAATAGCTTGGTGCCGTGGTGGCGAGATGTTATCTCCCTCACCTAGTACACAGGAGGTCGTGGGTTCCACCCCGACCCTGAAACCTGTATATATTTGGAGTTTGCATGTTCTCTCTCCCCGTGGTCAGGTAGATTTTTCTCTGGGTCCTCCGTTTTTTCTCTCCAGATTTAGAACCATACGTTTAGAGTATTTGGCTGCTGTAAAATAAAAAAAAAATTGTTATAGCAGTTAAATAATGTCTGTTGGCAGGGGTAATGGCCATTCCTTATGTGGGGGCTTTTAAACATAGATCACCGTCACATGACAAGCTGTGATGGTTATTTTTGGTGTGCCTAATACATGAGGTGTCTGGACTTGAAAGAATGATCCATTCGGCCTTGCCTGATGGAGGTGGTGAGACCATGTTTAGGGTGGTAAATGGCAGCAACAAGGGTGCAACCATTTATTTTGTAACTTGCCATCCATGTGCTGTCCTCAACATTCGTCTACTGTAAGACAACGACGTACATTTATTTTCCGTCAGGTTATTGCCAAGGAAGTCACATTTAGGTCTTGAGAGTCCTTCGTTGTTTAAATGGTACACTCAAAGACCTCATCCGATCGGTTTATGACCCTTAAAAAGGGCCTCATTCAGTACTTAGCTCTGCTGGTCATATTTGGATTCGAATTAACGACGTCAATTTCGCCTAGATGACAGTATTAGTTGTGTTTAAAGTAACAAATAAACTTGTGACAGGTGAGCCGTGAGAAGGCTACCATCTCGCACCCATTGCGAGCATTCGCAATGCATTAGACAACTTGCAGTGGTAACACGTTCATATTTCTCCTCAAATAACACCTTCTTATGCAATTGCTTTAAGCGTTATTCATTTTGATGGACGTTTAATTGATACAATGCAAAGCTCGATGAGGGTCTGCCGACAGATATTGTGGGGGTTGTTTGACCATACTTTGCCACGTAATTTTGGGACTGGTTCAGATAGTCACTCACTGCTTATGATAGCCGTAACCAGGAATCGAATTCAGGCCACAAGGTTAATTACAGTATATAGCAGTCCGAAAACCCAATGCACCACCGCTCCACTCTCACGATCACTACAACTCAAAATGAATAATTTTAGGCATGCATACGTATGCCAGCGTGGTGGAAACGAAATGAGATCTATGCACGGCTCTATAAAAAGTCACACGAATAAATACCGTATTAGATTACCGTACAGTAAGCCACTGGCAGCACGAGGCACAAGCAAACTAAGCAAAGGCTTAGGGCCTCAAGGAGCTCAAGGGCCCCCGAATTCATAACAAAAATGAGGATGCACCACATTTCAGTTCAAAATCAGATCCCAACAACTGTAATAATCCACTGAATATAACATTGTAAATATTATTAATATATCTTGTCTGCAGCTATCTTCTCTCATCTCATTCCGCCTCTATATTGTCCACATTTCTCTCATCTTGCTGAATCTGTCTCTTGTCTATATCTCTTCTTGCTTCCCACTCGGCATTCATAAATCGAAAGGTGGGGGTGGGGAGGGGGGTATATTTCTGTTAAGGGCCCCCAATGGCCCAGCATCACTACTGCAGGTATATTGCAATGCTGAGGTTAACTTTAAGTTCATTTTATTTAGACAGGTGAGAACTCAAGGCACCAGCACACATCTAATCTGCAAGAGTGTCCTTGCATCGCCAATAATACAAAAACGAAAAACAAATGAAATTTAGTACAGCAATGAAGCAAATCAAAACAAGTGCACAAACTGCGTAACACCTGTGGCTACATCTACGGAACTGGTGGCGAGATGTTGACTAGCTCGCCTGGTATGAGCCCAACCATGATGACTGCTGTACATTTGGAGTTTGCATGTTCTCCCTGTGGTCGCATGGATTTTTCTCCAGGTCCTCCGGTTTTTCTCTCCACATTTAGAAACGTGCGTTAAGAGTAATTGGCTGCTATGAATTTCCACGCGAAAAAAAAAACACCTTGTTGAGCTATTAATTGGGGTCAGTTTGCTTCTGAAATAGAGCTATATAGCTCATTGGGCCTTACCTGGTAAAATAAAGTTTAGTTTTAGTTTAAGCTGCCTGATGCACATATTTTATTCGATGCATGCATTACCTTTAATCAACAGGTAATTTCAATCTGTTGCCCTTTCTCTTCATGCACCACCCCTTCCTCTTTAGGCCACGCCTCCTTCATCATTATGCCCCGCCTCTTACCCCCTTAGGCCCTGCCTTTTCCTGATTAGGCCCCCACTCCTTCCTCTGGATCCAGGGTTGGTCTTGTTTGGGTAGCAGGGGGCGGGGTTGTGGTAGGCGGGGACGGTAGCTGTAGGGGTGGGGCAGCTTCACAACAACAACAACATTCTCTCTAGATTTGAAGCTTTCGTGACTGCAAGGATTCATACTCTTTGGTTTTTTCGGTAAAGTCACGTAGGTAAAATAAAATAAAAAAACTACTAAATTAAATCACGACGTTTCGGAGGCAACACAAGCTTCCGTCTTCAGGTGGAACAGTCACAGCAGAATAGCGGAATAGCTGTACCAAGTGATACAGATATTCTGCTGTGACTGTTCCACCTGAAGACGGAAGCTTGTGTTGCCTCCGAAATGTCGTGATTTAATTTAGTAGTTTTATTTTATTTTACCTACGTGACTTTACCGAAAAAACCAAAGAGTATAACATTCTCTCTATGTAATAATTTGCACAAACTAATTGACACGTTTTGTATACCTGACAAACCTTACTAATTGGCTATGTCGGTGGTGGTGAGTTAACTATACATATATACACACGTGATCTAACAAAAAAAAACACCTTTATTATTAATAAAGTTATGAAATAAATAAAAAACATGTAGCATAAATTGGCACGGCAATTTTTTTGGGACTGATCACGGTTACAGAGTTAGATTCATACAATTAAGTTACAGGCACATTAAGCAGACATACAGACTCTATTGTACTAATATGTAAACAGACGAGGATATATGTATTCTACCTTCGCAAAGATATGTTGGGCAAAATGGTGCCAGCGACAGTATGTGACTTTTCCTGGAGAAGAAAAAAAACACAGACAACATGTCCCATCTTTAAAGCTTTCGTGACTGCAGGGATTCATATTCTTGGTTCTTTCGGTAAAGTCACGTAGAAGGGAAACAGTCGAAACGTCGTGAGAATTTTATTGTTTTATATTTTTATTATTTTATTGTTTCCCTTCTACGTGACTTTACCGAAAGAACCAAGAATATTTCCCATCTTGTGTGCAGTCTTAATTTGTGTTCTTGTCAAGCATTGATGGCATTTGATTTGCTTCACTTCCGACACATTTCCACTGTAACGGCAAATTTTCAGCGCACAGCCGAACATTTGTCAACGACCGCTGTAAGAATGACCCAATATTATTCAACATTATCATCGTCGTAATTTAGAGTACCCAATTAGATGTTGAAAATGCTGGGAAGGCGCAGTCTTTATTACTTTTTTTTAAACATTAAAGGCTATCATAGAAGCTCAATCACAACGTTACTCCATTTCCAATGTTCCATTATCTTTCCATAAGAGTTAAAAGTAGAAATAAAATTAAGTGGCTTCTTGCTCTAACGAACAATGCTCCGACGCTCGTCTATTTATAGCCACGAGGCAGTCGTGGAGATTCCTCTGGCAGAGAGTCTATCAATGGCACAGCCAATGTCAACCTTCTTTGGTTCTTTCGGTAAAGCCACGTAGAATGAGAATAAAATAATAAAATTATAAAACAATAAAATTCTCGCGACGTTTCGGTCACAACACAAGTGGCCTTCTTCAGGTGAAAGGAACAAACCTGTCGGGACGACAGAGCTCATTGTAGCTCGTCTATTTAAAGCCACACGGCAGTCGTGGAGATTCTTCTGGCAGAGAGTCTATCAATTTTGATTACTTTATTGTTTCCCTTCTACGCGACTTTAGCTCTGTCGTCCCGACAGGTTTGTTCCTTTCACCTGAAGAAGGCCACTTGTGTCGTGGCCGAAACGTCGTGAGAATTTTATTGTTTTATTTTATTATTTTATTTTCATTCTACGTGACTCTACCGAAAGAACCAAAGAAGATGAATCCTTGCAGTCACGAAAGCTTTAAATCGAAACCAATGTCGACTTCCCCACAAAGTGGTACAGTGCTCACTCATAGGAATCGTGTAAGTCCAGAAATGGACTAAAATGTGAATGCTGGTCTGACATGGTTCACACTACCTAATAAACGTCAGTATGCCCTCGCCACACAAATACATTTCGGCTCCCTTTATAACACGACTAAACCATTTCACAAACGACTGGGCAAAAATGATCCCAAGCAAGCCGTTTCTCAACAATTCTCAATTTCAAGTGGGAACTGCGCCAATGCTCAGACAAGTATGCATCGTAAAGTATTAAAGCTTTCGTGACTGCATAAAATTACTCATTGTTTTTTTCGGTAAAGTCACGTATGTAGAAATACAATAAAATTATATTGAAACAAAAAACAATCACGACGTTTCGATCACAACGCAAGCGATCTTCATCAGGTGTCAAGAACAAATCACGGAGGTAAATACAACAAAAAGATGAGAGACGAGAATTCAACAAACCTGAAAAAACATTATATGAAGCACATCCAGTCAGGCCAACAACACAGTTAGACACTTCCTGGCGGACCACGAATTTCAGAAGAGTGTTAAATTTCGTGTTCAACCTTTGGATTGCACATACCAGCATAGATAGAATGAACTTGTATATGTATTTCTACTGATCGTGTACCTCGTATTTTTCATTCTATCTATGCTGGTATGTGCAATCCAAAGGTTGAACACGAAATTTAACACTCTTCTGAAATTCGTGGTCCGCCAGGAAGTGTCTAACTGTGTTGTTGGCCTGACTGGATGTGCTTCACATAATGTTTTTTCAGGTTTTTTGAATTCTCGTCTCTCATCTTTGTGTTGTATTTACCTCCGTGATTTGTTCTTGACACCTGATGAAGATCACTTGCGTTGTGATCGAAAGAAACGTCGTGATTGTTTTTTGTTTTAATATAATTTTATTGTATTTCTACATACGTGACTTTACCGAAAAAAAAACAATGAGTAAGTATGCATCGGGTTGTTCTCATCTCCATTGGAGATACCCAGCCAGCGGTGGGGGAAATTTTTTTTTTTACATTCCCATGGGTGGGGAAAAGTCTCTTCAAATGTGAAGCACTGTCAACGTCTCGCCAAGTGGTTGGTGGAGCCTCACGAGGAGAGACACTGGGCCAGGATTTGCGTTTTCAAAATGTTGCCAAACACTGGACGTGGCGACGAACACTGGCGATGCAATGTGACCGAAGGCACGACAGCGGAATGATGTCACTACAAGTGAACCAGCGTTCGTAAGTACGAGGCCAAATGTGAATCAGACGCGATGTCATTAGCATCAGGGCGTTGCCACCCACGGTGGTTGCTAGGCATTACGGTTGATTAGAAGTGCACGTCAATAATGCATTCTATCAAGTGCACCATTACCATAAAAGGGTCTTGTTGTGGTTTCACTCCTTTGTCTATTCACCTCTGTAACGACAAGCGAAAGATTACGACATCGCCATTGCCTCGTGCAGGCTCCACACCAGGAAGAAACATTTAAAGTCCGAGACGTCCATCAACACGTGGACCTTTGGAATCGGGGGTGGTGGGTGGGGGGGTTGTGGATAAGTGAACGTTGTATGGACGTTGCTGGCTGCCGCTATCGACGCTGTATTGTCTGCCGTGTTGCTGCCAGTTGTGCCCCCCCCCCACCCGGACAGACAGAAAGACATTCTCCCCCCCCCCCCGGGTCACATCAACGGGAGCGGCACAGAAAATGTCCCAGTGACAGCAGAACGCCACAGCCGCCGGCTTGCATCGGGCTGAAGCAACTGGATTATTTTTTTTTTGGCGTTTGCCGAAGCCACGGGCAAAGCCCGACCCGGAGACCCCCTGCGGCGAGCAAACAAATCGAGACACTCGGCTGCTTTTGTTCCACGCGAGCCACTCGGCAAAGCAACGCGCGATCCCCACCAGCGCACATTGTGTAACACGGACTGGAATGGCATTTTGCCAAGACCGCCCGTAAATTGGCGGTGGCTCGTGCCTTGAGTGTTGAGCAAGGCAACAACAACAACAACAAAAAAAACACAAGACGACTTGGGGTTGGTGGAACACTGCTTCTCATCCGTGCCGTTGCAAAGTCTCGGCACCGGCAATAATGAGCAAACCACCACCACCACCAACACCACCAACACCACGGCCGCGCATTGCATTGCGTGTCCACGGATACAAACAATGCATGGGGATGATGCGCACGGCGTGCGCTTTCAAGGCGTCGTCACGAACGCGATTTGAGGATCGTCAACATTTTTTTAAAGCAACGATTGTCCGTCTTCCGCGCACGGGTTACTCGCCACAACAAGCCTCGATCACAGCGGCAAAAACAGCAGCGTTGCAGCGAGGGTCTCTGCAACGGACGCGATGAGGCTCGATCTCGCTTGAGAGGAAACGTGCTCGGCACGCAGCGCACACGGGGAGGATGTATGGATGGAGAGAGGGCTTGCGACTTACCAGTGTATTCGTACAGAAGAGGCACGAGAGATCTCCAGCGACGTTCGCCCGATGCCGGAGCGTGTGGGATTTCAACAGCCCAGCCATTGGGGGTGGTGGCTTCTCCCTGCCAGCGACCTCCCCCCCATTCCTCCCGGAGCTCAATCGGAATGCTACGGCTCTTCCACAAGCCACTCTGCACAGCTGCCAATGGCAGGACACAAAAAAAAACCTCCTCCCATTCCCTCCTCCTCCTCCCCCCGTTTGTGGTGACATCATTGCTGGGCCACAACCACCTCATCCTCCTCCTTTGTTCCCGGGGGGCTGGAATGAAGTTATAGCGGTTTAATTTTTTTACGGTGGTATTATTATAAGTATTGGTGTGTGCTGTTCATGGTGAGGGTTTACTGGCAATGATGTTGCATGCTCACCGAATACAATAAAATAGCATTGCTGTTAAGGGTAATGAGTAAGGGCAACATATCTGTACACGACTTAAAGCTTTCGTTAATGCAGGAATTAATAGTCACGTTAGAGGTTTTTTGTTTGTTATTTTCTTTGAACCTATCTACGTGACTTTACCGAAAGACCCAAAGAATACATCTGTACACGCACTGTGTATGTATATTCACTGTAATGAGCAAAATTAACATTGAATTTACTCGTATGGATGTAACATTTAAAATGGATATACAGTTGCTTTTATTTGAGAACGAAGATGTCCACAAACGGGTTACTCTACTTGGCATATTTGAGATCAATTAGTTCCATTCAACTTTTGAATGTTCTTAATATAATTACTCGCTTGATGTTTTTGACAGCATGTAAGTAATTCATATCGCGTGTGTTGCATCGTTTGTTGTTGTAACGTTCTGTCCCGCCCCTTCCGGATATCTGTAGAAAAGAGCTTTATAGCTCATCGGATTCATCCAGTATAAACACATATTATGATTCTGACAGTGCGGTATTGCATTTTTTATTGTTTGGAAAAAGCGACATGTGTTTCATTTGACAGTCTGTATATTGTTGATGAGCAACTGAGATTATTTATTTAAATAATTTCACTCTGTGTGTTTAGGTCTATAGCCTGACTGCACAGTGCCGTTGTCATGTATCCACCCAGGTCACCCTTGCAAGTGAGACTTGTCTTAGGGGCCGTCCATAAATGACGTCACGCACCTGGGGGGGGGGGTCAGACATTTGTGACGATGTGTAACGAGGGGGGAGGGGGGTTTGAGAAATGTGACGTCACATCAAAATGCGCAACTTTAAATATAGACAACACGTTCTACTTAATTAAATAGACTTTTTAATAAATGTTTTCTCCTACATCAGAGTGCAGCGCCACATTAAATACGCACTACAATGACAATAGTTTAAAGCGATTTGAAGCATGTTTTATTTTGGGAGGGGGGGGGGGCAGCAGAGCTTTGTGACGTCATATTTGAGGGGGGGGGTCTGACTTTTTGTGACGCCGTGTGACGAGTGGGGGGGGGGGGGTCAAAAATCGTCCAAAATCGCGTGACGTCATTTATGGACGGCCCCTTAATGGGTTCTCACCTGCTGAAATAAAGCCAATCAGCCAATCAATACACAGCTCAATCAACACACAGCTCAATCAATACACAGCTCAATCAATACAGGCCCTGGCGGCAGCGGCGGCGGTCGCTATGCACGCCTGTAATCCAGCATTGATGCAGGCTGCAGGAGTTGGTGGATAACGCAGATGTTGCTCATCTCCCTTACCGCAGGCGTCGACGAGGAAGCCATATACCCTCTGTCGCCAGGAGGAGGCGGTAACGCAACGATGTTAAACTCCATCCGTTCCATCAGTACGGGATCGGGCAGTCGTTCTTCACTCACATTTGCAGAGGGGGGGGGGGGGGGGGGGTGGGGGGGTGGTTGCCACTTTCGCCGATAAGACATCGTCAGTGTGAGGACCGCCATACCGCCTACAAGGGGTGCTTTCACATGTGCCTATTGTTGGAGGCCGCACGTTTAGGGGCTGCACTAAAGGCTACCAGTAGCCGCCAGTGCCCCGCGGGGCTTGCAACGAAGAACACTGGGATAGAATTTTCCTCCCTCGCATGCGTGCAGTTTTCGCCAGGTGCTTGGGCATCCTCCCACATGTAAACGCTTGTTAATTGCCGATGACACCTTCATATGCAGAGGACCGCAGAGATTGGACAATCGTTGGTTGTCCTGCTCACACAATGGTACTTATTTTTACTGACCCTGGATGTATTATGAGCTCAGTCAATGCCTCGGCCAGGATTTCAACTCGCAACCTTCCGATTGCGAGCCGCTCAATCTACCACTGAGCCACATGGCGGGACACTACTTTAGTGGGACATCTATAGATGGATCACTTTGAAGTTATGCAGTCTACGTAACAGATATCATCACATATGTCTGTGGGTATGGTGTGCGTTTGTGCACCCCCCCCCCCCCCTCCCATAATTGAATGCCACGCCGTAAAAAAAAACAAATGTACAATATCTTAATATATTCTGGTTACCAACATCTATTTTCTGAACAAACAGATATGTTGCAAGGTGTTATGCATTACTCTTTGGTTCTTTCGGTAAAGTCACGTGGGTACAAAATTTAGCCAGGTGTGCTAAAATCAACGTCGGTGGTTACAAAATGACACAAGGATCATTAATGGCAAGACAGCATCTTGGGCTAGATCCTGAATGTCCGATTTCCCTGGCCACGTTAGAGTTGGGAATGTCACGTGATGGTTCATACCCATTAACGCGTAATTCTGTCAAATCAAATCGGTATCCTTCACTTAAGCAGATGCGAGTCCATTGAGATGTTATTACATCTTGAGAAAGAATTCTGACAAAGCGCAATTCCGCAGCCATTTATTATTTATACGCACGAAAGCAATTTACTGCATCAAACTCCAATGTGAAAAACGGAACAACGCACACGAACTGGGTAAAGGATATGCCAATGCTCGCGTATAATGGTTCTGGAAACAAAAAATACATAATTCCAATACAGTACACTATACATACAATTACATATAACTAATACTTGTAAATAACAGGGTGCAAAAAATATATTTGATCAGTCTGGCGTACATCAATCGACAGCTGTCCCTCTTCTTCCCAAGAAAATGACTAATGCTTAGCCAAGAGCCGATTTAACATGTTATTGATCATTAACGACATTGAACAAGCTACTTCGTCTAACATGTTGTCTAAAAAATAGGACATTTTTCGATACGTTTATGAAATACGTTGTCGAAAATCGAACGTGTATAATGAATCAAAGCAACAGATATCGTGCTATAGGTTCGTGGCGCCCTCTTCCTTCATCACTGCTGACTTCCACGGTTGAGAAACTTAGAGCTACTGCCCCGCCCATTGCATCACCAAGCCCCACCCATCACCTCCCGTCCAGTGGCACACATGCGAAAGAGAAGTGAGACGTTCCCCCACAAAGAGTTCCACCAGAGGACAAGTATCCCTCGAAAGGGATGCGTTCTTCAAAAAACGCGCGTAAAACGAAATTTCGTAAATCGGAATGGCTTTTCCCGTAATTTTAATACCAACAGTTCGGGATGTGTTGCAGACAATCATTTCAACTCTGCTCGTAACCTAAACACTTTCAACAATACAAAAAGTAATACAGAACATAAATATTTAAAAACATTCAATGATATTTAATTTAAAAAAAATAATTCAGGGAACTCGTCAAAATATGTGCATGTTGTAATGACTCGAAGGAGGCGTTGCTGTTGCACGGCAGGAATGCCGTGACGCTGTTGCGGATGGATGACGCAGCCTCCTGGGTGCTTCTTGTTTGATCTCGTGGGACGTGCCGTGTAAAATATCGTCCACGCGGAAATTCGATTTAGTTAATCGAAAAGCGTCCATAATTTGTCCGTTGCGTTCACGGAAAATTTCGTAAACCAAACGTTTGTAAATCGAGGGATACCTGTATGAATGTATGTATGTATGTTGAACTTCTTTCGAACCCTACGTAGCCAACCGTACTAATCGGAGGAACTGGAAAACAACCGGTACCTTTCTTTAAAGAACTAGATAATCCAGCTCTTCATTTCAACTCCTGGATTATAAGACACACTGTTCCCCCCACTGGGCGAAGACCCCGGGGCCGGCACCAGGACACGCTGGCGGGACTATTTCGCTCGGCCGACCTGGGACCGCCTGGGAACTCACCAAGAAGAGCCAGGGATAGGGAGATTTGGACCGCCCTACTCAGCATGCTGCCGCCGTGACCTTCACCAGGACAAGTGGATTGATAAACGAAAAAACTATTCCCCTCTGAATTTTGGATCAAACGTTTGGAAGTGCGTCTTATAATCCGCTAGGAGTTTTTGTGTGTGTGTTACCAATTATGTGTGCGAGGGGTTAGTAACCCCTCCACCTAGCACTTATTCGTAGCAATAACCACGGTGACTTTAATGGGTCATGACACAGGCACTTGGGTTGGAGTGATTGGAAGGCATAAGCCAGATCAGCTCAATAACAATAGTACTATTATGTGACATCATTACAACTGTCTGGTCAAAAGGACGAGTTCCGCAGGAATGGAAGGATGCCCTGGTGGCTCCCATTTTTAAAAAGAGGGACCGCACTGATTGTAACAATTACCGGGACATCTCAAAATTTCCTTGCCTGGCATGCTGAGAGGCTTGTGGAGACCCAATATGGTTTCTGACCAGGGTGGTCCTGCACGCATGCCATTTTCTCTGTCTACTAAAGCAGAAGTGTTGGGAATTTCAACGATACCTACATCTGTGATTTATTGACCTGGTCAAGGCCTATGATACCATCAATATGTAGAGTAGAGATGTACGCAGTGCTCGCAGTTGAGCAGGTGCATTTGAGGACGAGCAGGTGTGCGCGTTGGAGCATGAGGTTGGCGCCGGAGAGACGGGAGATGGGGGCGATGATTATGGATTTATGAGTGTGAGAGGTGCCGTGGAGGCGACAGCCTAAGTGGGGAGAATGTGAGGACTCGGAATGAGGAGGGGTAGATAAGCGGGAGTGTGCGTGAGCAGAGCGGAGTTGTTCGGGGACCAAGAGAGAAGACATCTCGCCGCTGCCACTCGAGCCGTCAACGGGACCTCAACCCTCACGCCGTCGCCGGGCGGGTGTTGGCTGAACCCCCGCCCGGGACAGACGGGTGAGTGGGTATGGGGCGGCGTCGGAGAGGGCAGCGGTGAGATAGGAGAGAGTAGGTGAGATGCAG